TGAGCCGCCATCAAGTAATACACGAGCAGGATGGTAATGGCCGAATCTATCTTTAATTTTTACGACTGCTGTGGCAAGAATTACTTGATCGGCACTTAAAACGTGACCTAAGTACGCTTCTGGAGGTGCGACTGCGTGTGGAGCGGGTGAATTTGGCACAGCTACAGAGTATCTGTGCAACAACGAATGGTGTGGTTTTGAACACACCCGACACTTGGAAGCCTCGCAGCTGGAAACTATATGGCCCACATTCAAACAATTGAGGCACATTTTTTGAGTCTTAGCAAACTCAAATCGCTGCATAACAGATATAGAACCGAAGGAAGGGCAAGAATAAATATTGTGATCCGCAGAACCACAATATGTGCACTTCGAAACCGGTTTTGAAGGCTTTGAAGGACCCTTTGTGCAAGAAAACGAAGCTTTACTATTTCTTGCAGGTTCTACTCGCGGTTTATTTGGAACCCGAGTTGTCTCTTCAGCCGCTAAATATTGGTATCGCCTGTTTAACTGCTTAGCGCAGTCATCCCAAGAAGGCAACTTGTCATAATCGAGCTGTTCCTCAAAACGAGATTTGGTTGCATGATCAACTTTGGCCATAACCATATGTATGATCATTGCATTCGAAATGTCCTTTTCACTTCCCAACGAAGTTAAAGACGCATAAATGGCAGAAACAGTGTCAATGATGGACCGCAAAGTAGACGCATTAGGTTTGGTCATACTTGGGATGTCAAACAATTGCGAGATAGTGTCGAAAAATATCAAACATTTGTTGTCGTACACAGACTTGAGGCTAGCAATGGCTTTCGAGTAATTGCAGTCCGTTAACTGAAACGGTTTCACAACTCCTACAGCCTCACCTGACAAGCACGACACCAAATGATTAAACTTCTCGACGTTGGTCAACGAAGGATCGTCATGAACTAGGCTTTCAAATAAGCACATAAAATTCTTAAATTCGGCATGCTTTCCACTGAATGTAGGCAGCCGCATTTTGGGTAACTGGGACCGTTGACTGGCCATCATAGAACAGTCATGAGAAGTCTGACTTTCAACCTTTTGTTTCGTTGCCTTCACATACAACGCCTTAGTTGAAATGCACAAATCCTCAAGTGGCCCTCTACTATCGTTACTTGGATTGAGACTATCCAAATCTGCCTGAAGCCCCATAGCTTTCTTTATGTAATCTTCTAACAGCTCGAGACGACACTCGAGTTCTGTTTGCTCAAACGAAATTGTCTTTAACTGAAATGCTGTTCTCATACGAGCAATATCAGCGCTAACCTTATCAAATTTCTGCAAGCATTGTACTAGTTTAGAACTAGATTTAGCTACTACTTGGTGCTTCTCAGATTCCGACATGGTAGAGTATAACCAAATAAACTCTAAACAAGTTGCAAATCAAACAAAACTGAAAACCGAACTTTCCTAACAGCCCTCGCAAATAACAACGCGCTAACAGCAAGAGACCAACTGAGATGCACACAGATTACGTACACACGCACTCAATACAGTATGCACGCAAGCAAAGTAGCAGTCCAAGCGACCGCACAAACAACAACGAAATCTGCAAGCAGTCTCAGCTGTACTCAGAAAATAGGCGTCGATTACAGCAAGCACGCTTGTAGGCAACGCTAATCCGAACGGGTAGCGGGGGGAAGTTCGTTGGCCCAGCGACAAGTGTAGCCGAAAAAAGGCGCGCACAAAGGAGAGAGCGACAAAATTCTTTTGCTACGCTAGCGGCGCAAGCAACAACAAAGCTATGGTTGTATGTGTGCAGCTGATGCAACAAATCTTCACCAAAAACCAACACAATAGAAACAAATAACTTTAAAATATTTGTTTATGTTAAAAATCAGCTTAGTAGCCCTTTTTTAATTGTTGTGGTTTGTTTTGCCTCGAGGTTTTGTTAGTAGTTATGTTTATGAGGGTGTATAATTATGTTAATTTATGCAAGGTGTGGTGTATGTGTGTATATGTATGTATATAATATAATTTGTGTATGTAATGTTGGTGCACAAAATAAATCAAGTGCCAAAAATTGAGTCGGCAGCACACACGTACTATATGTACATACGTATGTATGTATGTAAATAGATTTTTCTCCACTTTGCGCTTGCACGAATTGCAGCAATTAAACTTGTTAATGCTTTATGCTCAATTGTTGGCACAGAATACCTGCAAGCTTCCAAAGGAGTCCACCGAAACTTCCCTGGATTCCGAGCGACGATCACCCATTAGCCAAGCGAAACGATGCACAAGTAGGGCAGACAGCAGCTCCACAGTCCAAACGAATGTATGTAGTTGATGATATCCAGAAAGGCACCAAGCTCCAAATCCAAATCAAACGAAGTAATCACACGACCGCGCACAAAAACCAAGACCGCAAACAATCGAGAAAATAATCTTGAGAAAACCGAAGTCCCTGCTCGGGCGCCAATGAAAAATCGCTAGCTTTTTAGCGAAAACGACAACAAGATTTAACTATTTATCAAATGAGACGCGGTGTTCTTTGATTATTAATATGGCTTTTAATGGCTTGGTAATTGTGCAAAACGATGTTGAATGTGCGAGAATTATTTAGCCAGTGATTTGCCTGCTGCCGCTACAAGTCAGCGGGCCGGCATAAGAAAAGTAATGCACAAAGAGAGCGCCACAGAGAGCGCAGTAAAGGGCGCGATAGAGAGCGCAAAGAAAAGGCTTAGAAGTTAAGTAGGGTGCTCCAACAATACTCATTTCATTAAGTTCGATTAAAAATATTTTTTCTTTTCTAAGAAGTTTATGTAACTAATAATATTTGGTGAAGTAGGCCTACAGAAAGATACAATGCAATCGAGATAATAGTACCAGACATCAAGGGCGTACGCAGGAGGTCTGTTGCCCCCCCTCCCCTGTTAAAAAAATTTGCCATATAAATCATTTTTAAATGGATCGTGCATTATTTAATCAAAATTTTAATTTTTTGGTAAAAGCTGCGTACGCCCTTGTCAGACATAATAATTTTCCCGATTTTAGAAGCAAATGTCCTTTAATTTGAATTTATAGACAATTAAATATTAAGCTTCATTAGTCTTGATTATTCGCACCGAATAAGGTTTTCTTTAATATATATTTTGCATTAAAAGAAATATAAAAACTTTAAGGGTGATTTTCTCGTGTGACAGCTTACGCTAATCAGCACATATATTAACAGTTCAACAAAGGAAGTCTGCGAAATAATGTGTGGAAAGTGTTAATTGTTACATGAGAAAACCATCTTCAATGCTTTTGTATGGATAATGAATATACAAAATAATGATATCGTGTAGTGCCGATGGTAACTTCGAAGTGACGCTTGCAACAAAAGCCACAATTTACTCTGAAGGATTAGTTGAATGGAAACCGCCAGCAATATACAAGTCATCGTGTGAGATAGATGTAGAATATTTCCCATTTGATGAACAGACTTGTGTTCTAAAGTTTGGCAGTTGGACTTATGACGGGTTTAAGGTAGGTCTGTCAAAATCTACGCACGATATATACATTTTTATAACGAGTGTCTCCTTTCTCTTATAACAACAATCACTTCATTTTATTACTCTATTAATTTTTTCAAATACTAAATGCAGTCCTGGGCCAAGAGCTCACATTAAGCGTTTTGTATTTGGACTTACGATATCCAAATTAAGCCGCACACGTAAACGTACGCAGCAACACATAAACACATTAACAAATTTTAATTTAGCTTACCTTTCTATCGCATTGAGTAGTTAATTACAAAGCAAAAAGCTCTTTCGTTGTCAGCCACAAAAGCAAACAGGAAAAGAGAAAGAAAAGTTGAAGGCAGAAATTTTAAAATAAATTTATTTTAATAATATTATAATATGTGAATTAAAATGTAACAACAACCTATAAAGTCAATTTTATAATTATTCTTTTTTTATTTTTGAGTTTGTCAACATGCTGTTTACCCAACGCCCTTTATATGTTTGACATACACTACATATTTTGTACATAATTTTAATGTATGTTAATATTTCATTACCAATACGGATTCTAAAATAAATTATTATTAAAGTAGATCTGGATTTATTATATTTTATGGAACTGAATGTACCGTTATTATTGACTTGGTTCCTTTTTAACAGATGTTATACTCAAATACTTAAATGTTTATCATAATCATAACTAAATATTTGAACAGGATCCTGATTCGATTTTTTTATTTTTGTATTCAACATAAAAAAGTATAATTAAATGCACCAGCAAACTGTCATTTGTATATTTACTACTATATATTCAGTAAATAATAAATTAATTAAATTCAGCAAAATCTATATTCATCTAAATTTTTACGCATTTAAATACATACACAATGAATGCTCCGCGTCCGCATTTGTTCGTCATAAACGTAACAGTTATAAACTTTTAGCTATAAAGTGTAAAGGTAAAATTGGTTAAGAAAGTTATGGGTATCCCCACATATTACGCTTTACCGTAGTCTAACCTAATTTATTAACACGAAAAGATATAAGGCACGAGATGGTGTGGTCTTTCTACAAACTGTTGATGATGTTGTGTTAGGAATAAACTATTTTAGGAGTTTTGACAAAATACACGCAATTGTTATAAAACTTATACACATATATCTTACAGATATTAATTTAATTTATTCTTTGCAAATCTCTGTATACATATTTTGATGGTCAATGTCTTATATCGTAAAGGCAAATATATTCATATTTGTCTACAATGATAACATTGTTCATTATATGTACTATATATACAACTTATATTACCATTTTGATCAAATAACAAAGACGCAAACACGTACTATATGTAAAAGCTATCGTACATTTTAAAATGGTAATAAATGTTTTTCTTAGGAAAATTAAAACGTTTACTATACGTACTACTTATATAACAGTAATTATATATGAAAACTCATTTCGAAACAGATTGATCCATTGGTATGCTATGGTAACACAGGAGTTGTATTCAAAATATGTATTTTTCAGTGCTGATGGTCATTATGAAGTGACACTTATGACAAAGGCAATAGTCTATAGTAATGGACTGGTGATTTGGCAACCACCTGCCGTCTATAAGTCTTCTTGTTCAATCGATGTTGAATATTTTCCCTATGACGTACAGACGTGCATCTTAAAATTAGGAAGTTGGACCTATGATGGTTTTAAGGTGCTAATATAATCTTTTTTAACCAGAGCAAAATTATATTTTTTTGAATTATATTAGTTGTACCTCAATTTACATAATTACCAGCTATACTTAAAAGAGCTATAATAAAAAATTACATATTTGAAATTAAATTTGAATGACAACTAATTTGATCATAGCAAATTTTTAGTTGATAGCTTTAACTGCATATTTTAAATTTTATGGATATGCCCCGCATCGTACTCATGGCAGTCACATTGCATACATATGTATGTATGTGCATATGTGTGTATGTGTGTGCATATGTATGTATGCATATTGTAGCCCGCGGTTAATCTTTGCAAGTTTTAAAAGTGGTGTATGCATACTAAATACTTATCGGGCAGGAAACCCAAATTATCCATAAAATTTATGTTGAGAGTGTGAAATGTTAATAGTTAAAAATTGAATATTCAATGATGTTATGCATGGTTTTACATATGTTTGCATTTATTTTGCATATGTTTTGCATGTGTGCATAAAATATTTAAAATTAGAATTTCACGTGATCGGCATTAGTTGTCAAGTTATTTAATTTGCGCGATTCCTTACCCCTTTTTTTTAATGGAGACATATTTTATGTTTCAAAAATGAATGCGAATTTTATAATGTTTTAAATTTGTTATTTATATAATTGCCTTATAAAAATTAAAAAATTTTGATTACGGAAAAAGCACAAATAGTCAATAAAGAAAAAATGTAATTTAAATATCTTAAACAACTTTACAACTTAATGCTCTATAATAAAACTCAGGCAATAGTATACAACTGCGGAGTTTAAATATGTTTTCACACATATTAATCTTTTGATAGAAATTATTACTTATAGAATTACACATATGCATAACAACTAAAAGTTTTGAATATATATCGGGCTGGCAAGCCGCTTAAAAATAAATATGTAATCTTATGAAACGAATTTTTACAAGGCAAGTGCATTTTTGCGATGATCCGTTTTACACATAAACTAATACTAATGCGATTTTATGACTACAATAGCAGCATTGATAACGTTTCTGTTCATTTAATAATAAAAATAGTTACCTAAAAATGTTTTTCATTTATGAATGTTCTTGAATTTATATTGAATTATATCCTTCAGTTTGCATGGCTTAAGGATGCTATTTTCCGAATACTATAAAATCGTTTTTACAATTGGACACAATTGCACACTTAAATAAACAAATAAGAACTTGTTGATAGTATTGCAAAACCATTAAACGTATACGGTATAATTGACTTGAAATAATAACGTATGTATTTAAAATGTAAAAAAATTTATCAAGCAAGTAGCTACACTTTTCATTATACAAAACTTGCTCAATGTAGGTTCAACTATTTCCGAAATCCAGCCGTTCATTCAGCCGGTCGAATAGGCCAGACATGTCTAATTCGACACATACGAGTATATACTTATCCGGAAATGTTTCCTTCTGTATGTTACATATATTGCATAAATCTAATATACCGTTTTTTGGCCTTACAGGATTACATATGTATATATGTATAAAACTCAAAAAGACTGTGATTGATTGGAAGAAATATAGGAGTTATAATAAAATTTTTTTAGTGGAGATACATCATGTCCGTCCTTTCCCTGACTGAAGAATCCTGATGTGTCTTTTCGGCACCAGTGCACCATGCTGAACCCGATTAAAATTAACGTACATATAGTGATTAATTTAAAAAAAAAACAATTATGTAGCATGAAACGAACTTTTAGGTACTTACTCTCTGGCTATAGTTAATTCAGACTTAATAAGCTTGCATAACTATGAAGCATTCGGAGGATCAATTTATCAACGTGGACATCTTTTCATACAAAAGCAGAACCTCTTGGGTGGTAAGATTCATCGAGGGCTTAGCCTCTCCAAACACCATATACTCGTAGCTAGAAAATGTACAAGAGTCTAATATACTCGTACATACGTGTATACTATATACGGGTATCTAGTCATGAGTTAATTCTTGTGTGCTGTTGGCCCGCTTTACTTTTTTGGGTGCTTTTTATTGAATCTTTTCTAATATTTTGTCCGTATTAGCTAGATTCAGCATCTTTCGACACTATATTTCCAACAAAATGAAAAACACTGTTTTTTGCAATTAATGAGTATGTTTGATAAATTTATGTTACATTCTTCAACAACATTTATTTTTAATGTACACTTTTGATACTTACTAAAATACTTATTTTTTGTTGTTTTGTATTTTGTACATAAGATAAGAACATATGACCCAAAAAAATTTATTTTTATATTCAAGTCTCCGAGTATGCTTTTTTATTCACTGCATTGGCATGATTTTAATTTAGATTGCATGCGATTCTTATAAAATATTCTTTTAGTATTCATTGAATATTCAAAAAGGTTGCTTTTAATAAGCTCATATGCATTATCATATATATATATATTTATTTAGTGTTTTATTCCCCCGAGTTTCGAGGTCATAATTAAAAACATATAAATATTTTTGTTGTATATGCTTACGCATATATACAAGTATATATACAAGTAGAATTAAAAAATATATTCTGATGAAAAATCAATAAGTAAACTAATGGTGTGGATGAGGAATATATTATTATACATACATATAAGTATAATATATTTGTCAATCGTGCTCCCGCAAGTTTTTTGTGAATTGAATACAGTTGATGTTAAGGTCTTCCATTGAATTGGCAAAATACTTGTCTTGCTGACAATGCAAGCACGACTAATTATCCACTGATTTTATGTAAACCTTGACAAATTGTATAATCTCAAAGGTACTAAATGCATGAATAACTTACTTAAATCTAAGCGAATAAAATTTCGAGTATGATCGCCATATAAAAATATGGATAATACAATTTTAATTTTTTTACACGTGTGCATTTGGCAATAAGTTTCGCACAGGTGAGTTTACCTGATTAGGGATTTCTTTTACTTTCAATTATTTATTACTTTTAACAGTTTCTACTTAGCTGAACCATACAATTTAAGTTATTATACCCTGTACCCAAAGGGTACAAGGGTATATTAGTTTTGTGCGAGTGCACATGGAACACACAGAAGGAGGCTTGGTAGACCCCACAAAGTATATATATTCTTGATCAGCATGACAAGCCGAGTCGATATAGCCATGTCCGTCTGTCCGTCTGTCCGTCTGACCGTCTGTCCGTCTGTCTGTCCGTCTGTCTGTCTGTATGAACGCAAGGATCTCCGAAAGTATAAGAGCTAGAATAACCAAACTTGGTATACAGATTCTCCTGAGACCGAGAAAGGACAAGTTTGTTCATTTTTTCTGATCCAACCCCCCACTCCCCCCCTATTACCAATTTTCTATAACTCCCATAATTCTTGGAATTTTAAACTTAAATTTGGTAGTCGCATTAGGTTAGTAATCATATATCCGTATACCAAGTTTCATTATGATAGAATGATCAAAAAGAAAGTTATAGCCATATAACCAGGCCCAATGCACACATACATACATATGTACAAGTACACAAACACGCATAAGGCACGATTCTGATGTAAATGTAAATGTATGTATGCATGCATGGAATATTTTATATTTAATTAGTTAATATTTAGTTAATTAATTAAATTAATTTAGTTAATTAATTAAATTAAATTAATTAATTAATTAAATTACTTTTTTGTGGGGTGGTACAGGGTATTTAAGAGTTGAGCCTGCTCGACTTTAGCATTCCTTTCTTGTTTTATATTGGATAAGAACGGCTGAATTTGAAGAATGTAATTTATAAATAAATGAATATACAATAAATAAGGAATAACCATAAACAGCTGCATCAGAGTCATATACTTATAAAACCAGGTCACGCAATCGAAAGCATTTGCCGGCCCGGCCCTTGACCCCCCCCCCCCCCCCCCCCCCTCCCTCCTATGGAGGTTTTCCCGATTTTCCATTCGTATACTTGTCTTTATCTCAAAAACTATAAGAGCTAGCGACACCAAATTGAAGTCCCAGATGCCTTATGTAAATACGCAGAAAACGTCTATCTGATGGCCCGGAAAAATTAACAAACTACCCCTGCCTAGGGCTTATGGGCACCTGCATACCAAGTTTGGTAATTCCAGCTCTTGTACCTTCTGAAATCCTTGCGCTCGTCCAGACGGACGGACCGACGGTCAGATGGACTGACAGACGGACATGGCTAAACCGACTTCGCTTGTCATCCTGATCAATAATATATACATATAGTTTGTGGGGTCTGCACGCCTCCTTCTGTGTGATACATACATTCGCATAAAACTATTATAGCCTTTTACCCTTTGGGTAGGGAGATGGATTGATAGGGGTGAGGAAGTTTAGTTTAGTTTGTGCGATGAGGAAGATCAATCGGGTGGTATCTTCTTAGACGACGAATGGAGGTGCTGTTGTCAAGCACGTTAATTGCGAGGGGATTGGTGTGCCTATCCAATTGCTCCATGTGGGCTCTGCTCATACTGGTAGTCTCCGAGGTCGTTCTGAATGTCCACGGTTGAGTGGAATAGGTGCACATTGGAGATGATTCTGAACGCTTTGTTCTGAATCTTTTGTAAAATATTACAGTTGCTTCTGCTGGTAGTGCCCCAGATCGGAGGCCATAGGTCCACATGGGTTTTATTATAGCCTTATAAATTAAAAGCTTGAATCGCAGCCTCAGGGTGAACCTTTAGCCAACAAGCCAGAGATGCTTTTTGAGCCTTTCGTACAGCTGTGACCTTTTGCTGAGTAGGTAAGGTCTCCAGGTTAATCTTCTGTCTAGCACCAGACTCAAATACTTGGCTGTATCGCTGGTAAGGATAGTTGAGCCGTTCAGTTGGACCGGGGGGGCAGTCTCCTCTTCTTAAGGCAAAAGTGGTTTGAGTGGACTTCTGGGGGTTGACCATCATGTTCCATCTCTTTAGCCAGATGTTAGTGGTGTCAAGCTGCATTTGGAGGATGTCAGTGGCAGTCTGTGACGAGACATCGTTTGCCGAGAAGGCAGTGTCGTC